GTAATATTATCTCCTAGAAGTCATAATTAGAAAAGAGGAGCACTCCTGAAAACCCGAAAAGTTCAAGGGGGAAGCCTCACTATCGCTGTCATCACTGGTGTGGAGTAATGGGAGGCTTTTAGGAAAGTGTGCGTTGTTCTTCTTTGCTCCAGGGAGAGCACAGCATTTTTAGAGGATCTGTGAACGAACTGTTGGTGCGTTGAATGCCAGGAGGATTTTTAACATGGCACGAAATTCAATTTTATAAACCAAAGTGGGAAAAATTATTTTGTGGACTTTCACTTTTGTTCTTCCGTGTGGATGGAGCTGAGGGGAGGTGACTCTGGACTCTTTTAGAAGTAGGGCAGAAGCTGGGAGGGGAAGGGGCAGATGTGAGTAGGGTGGGTGAGCATCTCCTAGGGTCTGATTCTAAACACCTAGTGAGATCTAACATGGCCACTGCAGGCCCAACTCAAGGAAAAAGTCTCGTCTTGCTGTTGTTAGATGTACTTAGTATAGGTGACCTGAAAACCATCTCTTATGTCTGTCCCCAAATACTCTATACACAAACAGTGTACCTACTTTCAGTTATCTATGGTCTGATCGGTAAAAAATGAGACCATGTATAAAGACCTTAGACATTTCTCAGATGAAATGAGTTTTATCTTCATGTTTTCATCTGCCGACTCGAAGAAAAGCTTTGATAGGTAATTGTTTTGTTGTTGTTTTGCTGGTCTGCCAGGAATTAAGATCATGGTTGTTTGCAGGACAGCTTTCTACAGGTAACCTTTAATTTACAAATAACTTGGGTGATTTTGAATTTATAAACAGCTATCTTTTCAGATCCAGCAGGAGTTGTCTCAATTCAGTGACGTTACCATAGATAGATTCTATTTTACTTCCATTTGGGAAATTGTTGAACAATATATGAATACATGGCTAGTTGGTTTTGCCAAAGAAACTGTGGTTTGCTTTGAAGTAGTAATAGTTGTTATAGAAATGAAGACCTGTGTCAAGAAGTGTCCAGAAAAATTAGTTTGAAAACCAAACTATAGTGAAGGACTCTAGGACCAATGCTGCTTCTCTCTAGGAAAAGGAGTTTAACTGATCACAGAAGGCTGTGGAATAGCACCAATCCGGTTAGTACCACGTAAACATTCTCATACCTGTACCTCAGGGAAGATTCAGCTGCTGCTTCAATGTTTTTATTTTTATCTTTTAATTCTGTGTGTGTGTGTGTGTGTGTGTGTGTGTGTTCATGTGAGTACAGGTGCCTTTGGAGTTCAGAAGAGGGCGTTGAATCACCCCCGGAAACTGGAATTATAGGCAATGAACTATCGTCCTCTGCAAGAGCAGTTAAGGAAAATGAGGACTTGACTGCTCCTAGGTATGGCTGAGAAGAAAGGTTTTATTGTAGATATGAAGGAGGTCACAGAGGCATCTGGAAGGGTCCAGACTGAACATAGCCAGCAGAACAGACCTGGCCATCAGCGGAAAGAAAGAGGGGGGAAGTGAGAGACGAAGAGAAGTGTGTGTGTGTGTGTGTGTGTGTGTAGCTGACTAAGAAAGGAGTTGAGGACCAAGAGGACAAGAGAGCTGTGAAGCCAAAGTGACTGAGTTATATAGCAAAGCTAAGAAGCTAGGGGAAGTGAGGCCCACCTCTGGGCTGGAGAGTTTCGGGTAGGGGCGGAGTGAGAAGTGCTAGGAGGAGCCGCGGGTACTGAAGGAGACTTTGCCGGGTTTCCTTGAGCCCTAACAAGCTGCATGCATGTCTAACTGCTGACCCAGCTCTTTAGACCGTGTCTGCTATTTTAAAAAGAGCAAAATTACTGGATTAATTTGGTTAGTGGAGCATGTCTGGAATCCCAGAACACGGAAGGCTGAGTCAGGAAGACCAGGATTTCAATGCCATTTTGGTCTACGTAGTGAGTTCTAGGCCAGCCAGGACTACACAGTAGGACCCTGTCTTTAAAAAAAAAAAGTAGTAGTAGTAGTAGACAAAGGGACTAGCTTTACAGAATAAGAATTGATTGAGCACCCATCATTTGCCAAACTGCTTTTAGGCAGGGTTGTAGTCAGGCTCCTTGCTCTCTGAGCTTGCCTCATACTGTTGAAAAGCACCTCACTGCTGGGGGCTGGAAATTGTGGATATACTTAGAGAAGGACGCATTACATGATAGAAATCTTGACATCCAGGTTTGGGGAAAGACAAATTAACTGGCTTTGAGATTTTTTTTTTTTAATGTACACAGAAGAGGGTGCCAGATCTCATTACAGATAGTTGTGAGCCACCATATGGGTGCTGGGAATTGAACTCAGGACCTCTGGAAGAATAGTCGGTGCTCTTAACCTCTGAACCATCTCTCCAGCCCCAGGTTTTGAGATGTTTGATGGAAAGCTATTGGGTCCTATGAAGTGAGAAATGGGAGAAATGACTTTGGTTGTGACCAGTTTACCCTCATTCTCTCTTCTTATGGAAACCTGGATGTTGAACTACAAAAATATGGTTATTTCCAGTCAACTAAGGGGCCATTTGGCAAGCATCAACTCAATGAGCGTTGTTGGTAGAAGTTTGTCCCACAGGCCGCTCCCAAGTAACCATACAGAGACTTACTATTAATTATAAATGCTTGGACAATAGCTCAGGCTTGTAACTAGCTAACTCTTATTTTCAATTAACCCATATTTTTATCTACGCTTTGCTGCTGTGGGATGGTCTGTATGTCAAATGTGTTGCTCTGATTGGTCAATAAATAAAACACTGATTGGCCAGTAGCCAGGCAGGAAGTATAGGTGGGACTAACAGAGAGGAGAATTGAGAGAACAAGAAGGTGGAGGGAGACACTGCCAGCCGCCGCCATGACAAGCAGCATGTGAAGATACCGGTAAGCCACGAGCCACGTGGCAAGGTATAGATTTATAGAAATGGATTAATTTAAGATGTAAGAACTAGATAGCTAGAAGCCTGAGCCATTAGGCCAAACAGTTTAAATAATATAAGCATCTGTGTGTTTATTTTATAAGTGGGCTGTCAGACTGCCGGGGCTTGGCGGGACGTGGAGAGAAAACTCTCCAGCTACACTTTGCCACATGGCTTGGTACCTTTTCTCAGTACAGCATGTCCATCATGCTTCTCTCTGCATCTGCTTCTTTATTAAACCAATCACAGCAACATATATTCACAGTGTAAAGGAATATTCCACAGAGCTTCTTACCAGGCTCTTACTGAAATCAATAAACATTTGCTTTTGAATGTCCTGTGAGGTAGCTTGCTACCTCTATTTTGCTAGCCTATTCAATGTCCTATCCAAAGGAGTCGGGGAGTAGGAGTGTTTATCCATGCAGCTGGGAAAAGTCCACCTTGCAACTTTTAGGACTGTCTCAAGTGGCTCAGTAATTTGTTTTCTGATTGAGGGTTCTGATTTATAAAGTGTATTCTCTGCAAAGGGTGTAAGTTATGTTTTACTCTACAACAGAGATTTTCAACCTTCCTAATGCCGTGACCCTTTAATACAGTTTCTCATGCTGTGGTGACCCCCAACCATAAAGTTATTTTTGTTGCTACTTCATAACTGTAGTTTTTCTATGGTTGTGAATTGTAATGTAAATCTCTGTGTTTTCTGATGGTCCTGAGACCCCTGTGGAAGGGTCATTCCCCTTTGGGGGTGGAGACCCATAGGTTGAGAACTTTTCCTCTAAGACTGGTTGACTTCCACATTATGGCTAGGCTTATTCAAGGTCCCAATGGACTCCTTGAAGATAGTTTCAAGTTACAAAGTTGATTCACTCTTGGGTGTAGTGAGGACAGTTTTAAGCTTACAGACTCTAAGGTTGCTGCAGTTGGATTTGAAGAATTGAAGAAATTTGCTATCTACTTGGGAAGAGGTGTCTATCCTGGCCACTCTATATTGAGCTGGAGAAAAACCCACTAAGCAATTTCTTACTAATTTTTAAAATTACAAAAGTTAAAAAAAAAAAGTAGAACTAAGCAGAAAGAGAAAAACCACCTACAATTTCACCAGCCACTGGGACACACGGACGAACACTTTGGTTAGTTTATTCGATCCGTCTTTTCTGTATCTCTTTATACATCATAATTTTAGGAGTCATTTTTTTTTCTTTTTCTTTTTTTTTTTTCCGGAGCTGAGGACCGAACCCAGGGCCTTGCGCTTGCTAAGCAAGCGCTCTACCACTGAGCTAAATCCCCATCCCCATTTACACATCATAATTTTAAAGAAAAGAGATTTTTGTGATTTGTTTTCCTGTCCCTTCACACTGTTACCTCAGATAGTGTCCACATTTTACCCTGCCACCCCAGCATTTCCGAGCTCTGTAAATACAGGGGATACATAACTGTATTCCAGGGCATGATAACAGGAGACATAAAATAAATAAATAAATAAGTAAATAAATAAATAAAGCAAGCAAGCAAGCCAGGTGTGGTGGCAGAGGTCTTTAATCCCTGCGTTCGGGCGGCAGAGGCAGGCGATTATGTTGAGTTTGAGGCCAGCCTGGTCTTCATAGTGAGACATTGTCTCGAATTAAAAACAAAACCAGTGCAATAGGCAAACGCCCTTTGCTACCCATCTTTCTGGAAGAGTCGTTCCCTACATCCAAGTGACCTGGCAAGCGGGTTTGTGTGTCTGCCTGCTGAAGGACGCAGGCTCCTGTGGGTTCCCGCCACTCGCGGGGCTGGATCCAACCTGGTAACCTCCAGGACCCGGCCGGTGGTCCGGGAGAGGCGCTCGGAGGACTCAGAGGCCCTGTCCCAGCAGATGCCTGGTCCCCATGCCGCCTCATCTCCCTCCAGTGTCTGGGGTAGCCGGGGGTGTCCCTTGCGCCTCTCCCACCCTAGCTCCACCACGGCTTCGCGCGCGCCCCCATCCCGCGCCCGGGGTGCGGACACCCAGGAGCCGGGTGGCGAGCTCCGCCGCGCCGTCCCCCAGTGATGACGCGCTTCCTGCCCTCCCGGCGCTCGCGGGCCGTGCGCTCGCGCTCGCCCTCGGCTCCGGTTCCGCGCCCGGAGCCAGCGGCGGCGGCGGCGGCGGCGGCGGCGGCGGCGGCGGCGCAGCGGGAGCGGAGCCGGCTGCACTCGGGGGCTGGCGCTCCGCAATGAGACAGTAGCTGCATCCCCGCGGTAAGGCGCGGCGCGTGGCGCTACCCTGCTCTCCAGCTTGTATGCGCGCTGCAGGGATTTCGAGTGCCTTTTCCCTCCCCTCTCCAGAAGGAATATGTGGGTGGTTTTCTTCTCGGGTTTGCATCTCGTAAGTGATGTCAATGTAGAAAAACCCTGTCAAGCTTCTAGATTTCATTTCCTAGGAGGGTTGTTTTTTTTTCAAGAAAAGAAAAATAAATTGCAACGAATGCACCTGTCTATTGCACATGTAGGTTTCGCCGCACTCAGCCCGGGTGCCGGGCTTTGCAAATAGTCTTTCAGCTGGAGCCGGAGAGCTGATCGCTAGCCCTAGGTAGCTGGTTCCCTCCTGGGTTCCCTCCTCGGGTTTCCGGTAACGGGGTCGGAAAAGCGGCCGGGTCTGCACCGAGGGGTCCCCTAGACCCCGGCCAGGGCCCTGGCGCCGACAGAGTTGGCGGAGGGCAGAGCGGCTTCATTCCAGCACTGGCTGCCCCGACTTCCAGCGCCACTTTGCAAACAAGTCTCCCGCCCCGGCTTGCGGCGAAAGGCACCCGGGGCTGCTTCCCAGCGCCCGACTCTTGAGACCTGCGGGTTGCGCGACTCCCCCTTTCCCTAGTCATCTCGCTACTAGACAGCTGCTAGTCGCCGACCGCTCGCTCGGGGAAAGCGCGGGGCCGAGAGCGAGGGCAGGGTTTGGATCCGGCGCGGCGGCCTCGCGTATCCTTCCCCGACCCCCAGGAGCTGAGATTTCGCGCCGGCGGGGATCGGGAGGGACCTGGAGACCGGCAATTCGGGGCCCAAGGAACGACGTTTGAGGGCGCCATGTTTTCAGTGGGTTTTATAGAGGCTAAGGGGGCGCCCACTTTCCGAAGCGCCCGGGGGAGGCCGGAGCGATTGTCGCTGGGAAAGTTTGCGCGCCCGGGCGAGCTAGGAGGCGGCTGTCCCCACAAGGGCGCGCAGACTGCAGCGTGTCGCCCAGGCCGAGCCAGGCTGAGTCTGGGGGGAAGAGAGGCACAGGGGACCGAAGCGTGCGGCTCGCTGGTGTCACGGTGCAGCGGAGTCGTAGCATTTGGGGTTGCGAGGCGCAGAGCACACGCCCCTCTTTTCCCCAGGCCACCGCTGCCAGCGCTCCGCCGGAGCCGTGCGCTCCGCCGCTTCCCCGGCCCCATTGCACGTTGCAGAGCGTTTCCTTCAGCACCTCTTTTTCCCCCAGCATCGCGGCTCGCGGGGTGTTCCACCTGGCGCGGGAGCTCACTCCTGGCTGGAGAGGAAGCGACTAGGTTCGTAGATGGGGCAAAGGCCTGGCTTATGTGGATCAGCCTGAAACCGCCTGTCGTCTCCTGGTTTGTGGAAGCGACTGGTGTAGCAACCGGCGGCTGCGTGCAGGGCTCTCACTGTGGCACGGGCTGGAGGAGGAAAGGGGGGCGTTTCCCAAAGTCGGGGCTTCAGGTGACACGTGGGAAAACTTGTTTTCTTGCTGCTGGTGATGGGACAGAGATGGAAGGAAAGGAAAGGAAGGAAGGTTAATGAAAAACTAAATCCGGATTCTTTCCAGAGAACGGGAGAGGAGTGAGCTGAAGTGTATGGTGTTGTAGAGGACAGACACAATTAAAGACAGAGGAGTAGGAGGTGTCCCGGGGAAGCGCACCCCGAAATACACGTAATTACGAGCACTATGGTGCTCAAAGTGACACTTTTGATTCTGATAGCCCGTGGTCGAGGGAACTGACATTCACTATGTCCTAGCTCCCGGACGTGGTGACTTACTAGAAGTGGGCCTGTGGGGGAATCTTTACTTTTGTACATAGACTGTGACCCCCGCCTTGTAGTGAAGGGGCAGGGCAGAGTGTGTTTGCTGACCTGTGATTGGCTGAGTGCTGGAATGTGTTAGCTTTTCTCCTTGGTGTCTTAATGAAACTGTCACAGTAGAGAGATCATGTCAGCTCTTGGGGTCTTCATCACTGGAAGACATTCCGGGAAGGACCACAGGAACCTAACGGGGTGGGGGGTGGGGGTGGAGGAGCAGAGATTTCCATTAGGGAGATATGCCCCTGACATCAGCAATCGCCTGGGAGCTTCATTAAGTGCCTCCAGTGTGAAAGTTAACCCTTTCAGTTTAGGAGGTTGTATCTTTGATCCGCACCATGGAGATCTCTGTGCAGAAGTGAGGAGGAAGAGTGGGTGTGACGCTTGGCCTTGAGAAGGGGTGGTGGTGTGCATGCAAGAAATGTTTCTTTTCCCCCCTCCTTTTTAATTTGAACACTAGAAGAGTGGAAAAGACTGAGATGACACTTGTCCAAAATTAGAATAGCTCATGTTTGGGAGAATTAACTGCTGAAAGCCTCCTCCCCTTAAATTACATTGAAGTTTCCAGGCTTAGAGGAGAGGTGGTACCCTGAATTCCAGACGCAGACAGTTCTCAGTCACTGTCTACTCCGGGCCTTTGTGCCCCTTTTCATTTATGTAGGAGATACTATGGGATTGTGAGGGTCTCAGTTTGGGGCTTTGTGTTTCAGGCTATCTCCAGGGAGAAGTGAAAATTTCCAAACTTGATCCTTTTAAGTTGCTATTCAGTACAGGCGTGGGCTATGTGTGTGTTTAAACCTCACCATATTTTTTGCACAGCTTTTAAACGCGATGCAATGAAAATTAACTTAAAAGAGCGTTTTAAAAAGATTTTTAAAATTACATTTATTTGTACATCTAGCTACCTATCTCGCTATATATTTTGTGTGGGGAGGTGGGGGGGAACACCATAAGGCACCCTGTGTAGAGGTCGGAAGAATCAACTCTTCTACCATGTGGCTCTCTGGAATTGAATTCAGGTCATTAGGCTTTGTGGCAAGTGCCCTTTACCAGCCAGCCTCAGAGATGCTTTATTTCTGGTCCTCTAATATTTAATTTCAAGTGGATTACTTTAATATTTATTTAATTTTGTATGCCTCTTTCACCAGGTATTATTAGCCAGGCTTTGCTGTTTCTTGCCTGATTCTTACTATTGTAACTTCATAGCCTGATCAAAGTGCCTGATTTTATTTCCCCCAGTGAGATTTTGTAACTTCAAAAGGGTTAGAAAAGTGCCTTTGTGAGTTGGAAAGTTGCCTATCAGTTTACCAGGCCATGTGACAGGTGGTGTGTGTGCATGTGGCATGCCCAGGCTCTTAGGATGGTGTCTGCGACTTGTGATCTGTGACATTCTTGTTCTAGGACTTTTGAGCCAGAATATTTTCTTGGGGATTTTGGGTGGTGTTTGACTAACAGGAAGTACTAAAACCAGTTAAATCATTCAAAACAATTTTTTATTAGGTACAAAAAATGTTTAAAGACAAGAAGAAAAATATAACAAGGAGGCCAGCATTCTAGAATTATAGCTTAACAAACCCAACTGGTGCCTTTTTAATTACAGTATTTACCCCATCCAGAACTTTTTAATCCTATTGCTTTTATATTTAATAACAAGCCTAGCTAAAACACAAGCCAAACACAACTATTACAAATAATGGGGATAAGTGGTGGGTGTTTTCCATAAAATTGAACTCTTCCAAACTTTCTTGCTGCTCCCTTCCCTAACAAGCAGGGAAAACTCAAAAGATAAGGAAGTCTTAGAGGGTAAAACAAAAGTGGAGAAGACCAGACCTGTGGAGCCGGGCTCCTCCTGAAGGCTGACCACTTTAGTAATCTTTGTCTTCTTGGCACTTGCCATATGGCAAGCTGAGCACAAGATTCCGTGGTCCTTAGAGCTGCCCTTCACGTGTGCTCTGAGTTATATTTACAGCCTATTTCACAGTGGATTTTTCAGAGCCCACAGCAGGCCCACATTTTTGTTTTGTTTTTAACCAACAATTCCATTTCTACCGACTGATTCTATCTACCATACTGTTCTAAGAGCCTACAGCAACTCGCACACATTTGTGTTTCTTTTTTACTCTCCTGCCTTTGGCTTTAGCAAACAGAATTCTCCGTGTCTTCCATTCACTTATGCAGTAAAAGCACTAGGGGGTTTATCTTGCTCCTCTGATAAGACAAACCTGCCCTCACCCGCACATCATATCCCTTGAGGGTAGTGCTCTTGTTTTGTATTTATCTAGTAGATAAGGTGGGGAGGAGATAAGTGTGATTAAGTGGTTTATGGAGCACAGAACTATCAAAAGATGCACACAGGAAGAGCAGGCAGCTCCCACAAGAGAAGCAGACTGGGGCTGGAGAGAGGGCTCAAAGGTTAAGTGAGAGCGGTTGCCGCTCTGTCAAAGAACCCAGGTTCTGTTCCCAGCACCCATGTGGCAGCTCCTTACTATATGTAATTCCATTTGCAGTGGGTCTGATTCCTTCTTCTGGCCTCTGCAGGCACCAGGAATGCATATATATATACACACTGGCAAAAACAAACAAACAGAAAACACACACAAAACCCGCTCATACACATATGATAAAAATAGAAAAGGGAGCGTCACTTTTTTTTTTTTTTTTTGGAGACAAGACCCCTTTCTCGTCCTCATTTCAGGTTCCTGAACACCCCCAACCTCCTTGACCCCGTCCCTTTATCTCATTTTGCTGAGTAACTCACCCTTGATTAGACTTGCCCTCTGCTCCACTTTTGCCGCCCTAGCCCCTGGCTAATGAGCCTGGGTGGAGAAGCCACATGGCCATCTGCACTGGCAAGCTCTTGATGTATGACCATGAATCCCGAGGGGCCTCTTGACACTGCCGGGCCCACTGTGCTTCTCATCTGAAATTGCTCTCAGCTGGTGCCTTGGCTTCCTTCACTAAGATGCAGTTTCGTGCTAGTCTCAAACCTTGTCTTCCTGCATTGAGTCCGCTGACTGACGGGTGAGGATTTCTCATCTGCCCTGCCCTTCACTCTCTCTTAGCCCTTCCCCTTTCCCGTCCACACTGTCAGAGACCCTCTTTGATGGGGTTGTCTGCACTGGGGATGCTCTAGCTTCTTCATCCCAGGCAAAGAGCATCACCATCAGCAAGTGAAGCCCCTTGACTCCATGTCCTAG